AAATTTCATTTGGAAAACTATGCGGCTATACAGCAAACACTTATGACAAAGTGAAAAATTAAAGTAGTATATGTGCATTACTGTTGATGTTAGGTACCATCAAGTTAATTTTTGACTTATAGAAATCCCATGCAACAGAAAAGAACTGTCCCCAAAGGGTTTTCTAGAAGCCCTAGGCCTGGCAGTACAATGGTTAAGTGTTCAGTGGCAAACTGGAAGGTAACAGGTTTGAAACTACCAGAAGCTCTTCAGGAAAAAAGACTTAGTGACCTGCTCCCATACAAGTTACAGGGTAAGAAACTCTATGGGGCAGTTTTACTTTGTCATACTTCAGACATACTATCAGGAAAGACCAGTCCCTGGAAAAGAATTTCATGCTAGGTAAAGTGGGAGGTCAGCGAAGAAGAGGAGGAACCCCAATGAGAGGACTGCCACAGTAGCAGCAGCAACAGGCTCAAACTCAGAAACAATTTTGAGGACTTTCTGTTGTGCATAAGGTTAACATGATTCGAAATCAACCTGAAAGCACCAAACAACAACATAGGGTCGCTATGAGTAGGAATGGATGGACTTAATGGTACATAACAATCTTTACAGTAACAATTCGCCAACTCTTTTTCCTGTGAAATTTCTTGGGTGGAGGGGCTCAAATAATCAACCTTTTGGTTAGCAGCTGAGCATGAAACTGTTGCACCACCACAGTACTAAACAAAAACTAGGTAAAACTCGGATTAAGATTTAGAGGATATATCAATTGATGCCTTTGAGTTGTGGTGTTGGAGGAGAATACTGAAAGTGCCATGGACTGCCAAAAGAACCAATAGATCTGTTTTGGAAGAAGTGCAGCCAGAGTGCTCCTTGGAGGCCAGGATGGCTAAGCTTCGTCTCTCCTACTTTGGACATATTGTCCGGAGGAAACAATCGCTGGAGAAGGATGTCATGCTGGGTAGGGTGGAGGGTCAGAGAAAAAGAGGAAGACCCCCAACGAGATGGATCAGCCAGGTGGCATCATTGATGGACTCAAGTGTGGCAGAGGTAGTGAGGTTGGCCCAGGATCGAACATTGTTTCGTTCTGCTGTGCATGGGGTCGCTATAAGTCGGTTCTGACTCGATGGCACCTGACAACAACAACAACAACATCAATAACCAAAAAATATGTGTGTAGTTACACAAATATGCAGCACATCAGCAAATATGTGTATGAGTATGAATGTGTGCAGACAGATGCATCTAGACATATGTACACACAGGTATGATGTGTGTACATATATACATATTCATATAAATAGTAAGTCATATATGAGACAGTTACAGATATTTTTGGAGTCCTGATGTGGTGCTGTAGGATCAGCCACTGGACTGCTAACCACAAGGTTGGCAGTTCAAACACACCAGCTGCTCCTTGGAAACCCTATGAGTCAGAAACACTGTGAGTCAGAACTGACTTGACAGCACTTGATAACAATGGACACGTTGTAGACATAGCCAAAAAGCTCACAAAACTGATTTTTTGAGTTTGAAGTCTTAGTTCCATAGTCTCATGGGACAACTCACTTGGTGTGATATAGTTCATAAAATGTATATTCTATATCTCCTCTGGTAGTGTAATTGTTATGAAGTTGGCTGCTAACCTCAAGGTCAGCAGTTCGAAACTATCAGCTGTTCCTCAGGACAAATATGAGGCTTTCTGCTCCCGTCGATTTACAGACTCGGAAACCCTGTACAGGGTCGCTGTGAGTTGGAACCGACTCCATGGTACGTAATCACCACCAATGTTGGCAAGTAGTATCTGATGTTGTCAAACGCCGTCGAGTCATCGATTCCGACCCATAGCGACCCTGTATAGGGTTTCCAAGGAGCAGCTGGTGAGCTTGAACCACTGACTTTGTAGTTCCAATGACTCTGCAGTCTGACACATTAGCCCACAGCGCCACACAGTCTTTAAAACTTTCAAGTGATTATCTAAAATACAACATACCAATGTTATGAGAGAGACAGAAGAAAATCAAAGACTTAGAACCATGCCTCATCTATCTGGACACCATCAGAAGAAATGGTATTCAGCTACCACTAGCAACCATCTTGATCAAAGCCACAATCAATAGATTCAATCAAAAGAATTAATATAAGGGTGGAAAAATGTAGAACAGAGCTCAAATTCTGAAAAAGTCAGACTTACTGGAATGGGTGAAACTAGAGAATTTCCTGAGACAACTGTCCTGGGACACACTTTAAGCTTTACATCAAAATTACTCCCTCATATCACCACCTACCCAACAACAGATTGACTTATAAAGACTATCACCTATAAGTAATGTGCTCCTTCAAAATATCATCTATAGGAAACCAAATGTTCAAAAATTACTCTAAAGCAAAGATGCTTAGAAGGTAAGGGGGCAAGGAATCTAAAGTACAGGAAATGTTATAACCAGAATGGAATGAATAAAAATAATGACACATTATGAAAAGTTTAATACCACTGAATAGTTGGTGTCAAAATTGTTAAACAGGAACCTAATTGGCTGTGTAAACGCCACTTAAAACACAAAAAGCAAAGAAAATCCATATACATTTAAAGGACATTACTGGAACAAATGACAAAATCTGAAGACAGTCTACAATTTAAATAGTATCACATTTTCTAACTTTGTTAATTGCAGCATGGCTATGCAACAGAATATTCTTGTTCTTAAGAAATGCACTCCTAAGACTCAGAGAAAAAGCAAAACAAAACACAAGTACACACAACACTTCTGAAACAAATGAGGCAAAATATAAACTAGTAAATCTGATTTTTTTTGTTATTAGGTGATAAATGTTAGGTAGTTTTTATGTTATAAACATACTAAGACAAAAATTCTAGCAGTGCTGTATAGATGGGTGATGGTGGTGGGCCACTAAGTCAGTTCTTACTAATAGCCACACTGTATAGGGTTTTTAAAGAACTTTGGTCCAAACCAACCTTACAGACCAAACCGACCTTGCAGTCCAGTGTTAATCCTACAGGGCAACACCTGGACCCCATAGATTATAAGAATAGAGAGTGAGAAGAAATGCTGAAGTCATTTACTGTTAGTAGCATGTGTTGTGAGTTAAGAGGCTGTTGTTGTTATGTAGGATCCAACTCATAGCGACCTGCACAGGGTTTCTGAGGTTGTTACTCTTCACAGGTACAGAAAGCCTCATCTTTCTCCCATGAACAGCTGGTAGTTTCAAACAGCTGACCTTGCGATTCACAGCCCGATTCATAACAACTACGCTACCAGAGCTCCTCACATGCCTACATTTAAAAGATCTGTTTATGATAAAATAGGGAAATACTAATGCTTGGTGGTGGTGGTGGTGGTGGTGGTGGTGATGTGCCATGGAGTCAGTTCCAACTCACAGAGACCCTGTACAGGGTTTCCGAGGCTGTAAATCTTTATGGGAACAGAAAGCCTCATCTTTCTCCTGTGGAAAAGCTGGTAGTTTCGAACTGCTAACCTTGCGGTTCGCAGGCCGATTCGTAACCACTGCACTCAGACTAATTAATATGATGGAATCTATCCAACGATGGGAGTCCTGGTGTGGTGCTATGGGTTAATGCGCCAGACTGCAAAGCCATTTGAACTGCAAGATCGGCAGTTTCAAGCTCACCAGCTGCTCCTTGAAAACCCTATACAGGGTCACCATGGTCGGAATCGACTCGATGACACTTGACAACAACAATCCAACTATAATGGATTTCTGGTGTGGTGCTGTGGATCAGCACTGGACTGCAAACCCCAAGGTTGGCAGTTCAAACCCACCAGTTGCTCCTCAGAAACCCTATACAGGGTTGTTATGACTCAGAACTGACTCGACAGCACTAACAACAATTCAACTGTAACAATCAGACATTTGCTATATGTAGGAAAACTATAAGTTTATTCAAAGATTATAGTAATTTTTATTTGGACTTGATAAAATCCACTGTTACAAAGACGAACACTACAGCCTTCACTGATAAATTATCAAGGTTAGAATAAAAGCCTACTGGATGTTCTCTTGGACTCCTGGTGTGGAGCTATAGGATCAGCACTAGACTGTGAACCACAAGGTCAGCGCTTCAAAGCCACAAGCTGGTTCTAGGAAACCTAATACAGGGTCATTATGAGTCAGAACTGACTAAACAGCACTTAATAACAACAACAGATGTTCTCTTGGAGTCCTGGTGTGATGCTACAGGATAAGCACTGGACTGCTAACTGCAAGGTCAGCAGTTCAAAACCACCAGCAGCTCCTTGGAAACCATACACAAGGTCAACATAAGTCAAAACCAATTCAATGGTACTTAACAAAATGTTCTGCTTTCTTAAGATAAAATTCTTGAAGAAAAGCTTGTGTACAGTTATGTGCCAATAATTGTGCCAATAAGTGAGACTGCTAAAATACCACTATGAAAAACAAAAATTCTTAAATAGAACTTTAATATGTTATTTATCTAACATACATATTTAGATTCTGAATCTTAGTATCATTAAATAATTGGCTGCTGAAAACTTGCTATCTGTTCAGAATTCTGTAAATTTTAGAAACCTTTCTGTATGCCTTCACGAAGTATACCACTATCCACAAAATGAAATTTGTAGGACTATAAATTATTATTGTTTGGTTGCTATTATTAATATCCTTGACTAAGACAGGTGTAACAAATCAATAATGCAAAACTGGTAGCACATAAGAAAAAAACAGGGAAAACAATGCTTACAAACACACTGATTTTTAGTAAAGAGAACACAACACATGTAGAATTCCAATTTTTATGCTACATGTGAAATCAAACTCGTACTTCAAATAAGATGAACTACACATAAACAACTCACAAAATAATCAGATAATTACAGAGAGCTGCTAATTATTTTTACTAAATACAGGATGCCTAAATTCTCACTGATGATCCATTATCATAAACAACATATTTTTTTTAAAGCCAAAAACAAACATCTTTATAAATGCCACTGCCCATAAACTAAACTTACCTTTTTATCTTCTTTTCCTTTGTGTGTTTTCTTCTTCATTTTCTTGTCATCTAACTCCTGGTCTGAAGTGATTGCAGGATTATCAATACCACCTTTCCAAGTTTCGACAGGAGAAAGAAGTGGATCTTCTTCACTTCCACGATGTCTTCCTTTTCTTTTTGTTTTAGAAGTGGTGAAAGCCTCATCATCACTTGCATCTGAATGTGTTCTTCTATAGTATGATTTGGCTTTACTAAACAAGGTTTTAGATTTGTATTTGTATTTTGAAGGCCTTCGTTCCCCATGACTTTTTGAGGTTCTGTCAGAAAATCCATTTTCTTCATCTCCTTGGGTATTAGTTACAAATGAGTTTCGGATTTTAATAATGCGATTCTGACTATCATCTGGGACAACATAAATCTCATCAGAATAGCCCTTCTGTTTGAAAATTGTGTCAATGGGTTCAGCATAGTTATCTGAAGGATCCATATCTTCAGGATGTGCCATAGGCACACGGGAAGTCTGTTTTCTTGGATTTTTACCAATACCAGCTTCAATCGTTTTCAAAAGGTTTGGATCCAGTTTCTTCACATTTGTCTTAGGTACAACTGGTTTAGGTTTAATGGGTGGAGGCACTTTATGGTTGCGTTCATGGTCATGACAGTTTGGAGTGCTATGAATAGGATATTCATTTCCTTCCAAATCTAATCTATATCTGGATCGGTCACTAGGAGTCGGGAGCAACTGTACATCATCCCCAATTGGACTATAAGGAGGAGGTGCTTCTGTGTCATCATCTGAATCAGGGTAGTTGTTATAAGGAAAACAATCTCTGGGAGAAGGCAGAAAAACATCTTCACTTTGATGTGTTGATTCCCTTGTAGTATCAGACAAATAGGAATTTTCTATCATATTTTTTTTCTCTAGAACATCACTAAAAAACAGAGTAAAGACCTCAGTCTGCCTATGATACTGAGATAAAGAATACAATGCTGTAAATTTAGCAGTGATCTCTGTTGCTATATGTTCTCCTTCCGTCATTAGCTCCTTGATGGCCTCATTTTCAAAAAAATCTGCTTGGCTATCAGTAACTGCCACCAGCTGTACAGGAATGGTGTCCTGAACTTCTGACAAAAATGCTCGAAGCATTCCCATTGATGCTTTCCGTTTGGCAGAGTAAACTAATATATATCCATGAACAAGTTCATCTTTCCTTACTCCAATTGAGGAATGGTATGATAATATTGTGATCTGTATTCGCCTTCTTTTTTCACCAATAATTTTATCAAGCATTAGGGAATTATTTTGTCCAGCTTGAGCAGCACTACAAGAATGAGAATCAAGGAAAGGTGAAAGAATAAGATCCACACTGAACGGATCACCACACATGGCACACATGACAATTCTCAAGTCAGCTTCTGATATACCCTTATTGGTGGGGACTGGACTCACCACATCCAAATTGTGTTTTACAGATTCCAGTACTCCTCTTAGGGCTTGCTTTACTTGGGTTTCATTAAATTTACGAGGATAACTACCAGCAGGTACGTCTACAAAAGGACACTGTAATTTATTTGCCAACTGCTGTCCTTGGTGCCTGAGAATTGGTAGACTCTTACTAATGGAATCTCTCTGATTAGCCAGAATTAACGTAAATGGAAGATTAGCCATGTATTTATCTTTTCTGATCTGAGAAGCTTCAGTTCTTATTTTTCCAATAAATTCCCCAATGAAATTCAGTGACTCAATGGAATTAAAAACACAGAAGCACCCATGTGGCTTAAAGGCGGTAGTCCATAACTGACTTAAAAAGTAAGGCGATTTGGCATCAACTGGTCGAAGATCAAGTTCATAAATTTTTCCATCTAAGGCATACTCATCATCAGTAGATTGTGTCCGTATTTCATTTCCTAGTTCTTGGGCAAGGCCATCTTTTCCAAAAATGAAAAGGTTAACTTTATCTATATTGGTACTATCATGATACAACCGTAAGCGGCCATGATCCAATTGCAAAAGACTACTGGCAAGTAATTGTTCCACTTTAATGTCAGTGCAATTTTGGCCACTAAGACATGTTTCTTTAGTGGGGTGATAAACAAATCCTATATGCTTAAGAAGAAGAGATTCCCTATCAGGAGCAAGTTTCTGTAAAGCTTTATATCTAGGTTCTTCACTCAGAACTGTATTAATTTCACTCATTTTATCTGAACTAGGTGTTGCATTGAGATCTAAATCATAAAAAAGTTCAGAATGCTCAAAAAGCATTTCTTGAAACTCTTCTTTGGCTTTTTCAACTATTTCTCGCTGATGCCTACCATATACTTCTTTGCTATCAGCCTCAGTGATATATTTAAAGGCTTCATCCTCCATAACAAAGCACATAACTTCCTCCCATGGCTGTCCAGGTGAAATGAACTGAATTTTTTCCAAAGTCTTTTTGAACTTTTCCTTCATTTCTACCCTCCTCTTCTCTGATATTAGATGTTGTACATGGTTCTGATAGACTTTTTCAGCTTCTAAAGTGCTCAGGAGGTCAAATGGAATCCGTCTATCGTTAATTTTGTCTATGTGGTCAGTTTCATCCCAAGGTGTTTTTCTAGCACCACAAAACATAACTGGAAATCTGCTCTCTTTTCCATTAACTTCAAAACTTCTGACTAATTTAAATGTTCAGTCTCTTCTAGATTTGGCAAAAGAGTGTTAAAAGCTCTTGGTAAAGTATTTATATATTCTTCTCTCCTTTTTCTAATATGTTCCTGTTTAAGTTGTTCTATATGCTTTGAAAATGTATTTCTGGCTTTTTTTGTTCCCTCTAAATTGATGTATTCTTCATAATCAGGATGATTTTTAAAAATTATTACTAACAGTTTTCCAAGTTGCATGATAATCTCTCACAGTTTGCACAAGTTTCTCAAACTTATCTGTTGCTGTAACAACAAGTTGTCTCTGTGTTTTATAAGCATCCAAATAGGGAGTAATTTTAGGCTTGCCACGAGTTTTATCCAACATTTGTACCAATGCAGTGAAACATGTCTCAATGTTGACATTAAATCGTGCTGATGTTTCCACTACAAGAAGGTTCTTTTTGTTAGAAGCAAATGCCTGAACTTCTCTCAGATAGTGATCCACACATTCATCACATTTAGTTGCTGCTATTATTACAGGTTTTTTTGATTTTGATAGCTGGACAAAAAGGTTATTTACAAATTTAAGTTGATCATCAAACTTCCTATTGCATCCCTGACTTACATCAATGCACAATAAAAATCCATCCACATTGAGCTTGCCTTCAGGCATTTGCTTCTGTTCAAAGTCTTGTTCCAGGCCTAGCTGATCAGTGCAAATGTACATCAGTTTTTCTGCTGACTGCAATTTAGTGGCAGCTGCACGCTTTATATACGGTTGCAGATTCGTACTCCGATGAGGCAAGAAAGTCTGATCATCTATGAACTCTGTCTGTTCAATGACATGAATCTTGCATTCTACTCCATCTTCACTATTTTGTGTTATGTCACCCCAGTATAAAAAGTGATCATTGTTTACTACTCGTCCTTCAAAGTCAATCGTGCTAAGCACAGAAGTATGCTCTGGATAATATTCATCTGCCTTTGAGCATAAGAATCTATTGCACAAACAAGATTTTCCAACTCCACAGTTACCTTTGTCTTTCTCAGTCCCAGAAAGTCCAACTACACTGATGGTATAGGATGGGGGACGAGGCTCTCTGTTTTTTGCCATCATAACTTTCTTCGCATGTCTCTACATTCATAAATGTAACCAGATATGCTTCTCATTCTGAAAATAAAATCATCTCAAAATACAGAGCCCATATTTCAGAACAATATTTGGTTCTTTGTATTTCCCTCATTTCTGTGCAGAAAGGTCTTCAAAATCATATGCTTCATCTTCCTAGAAAGGGAAGAAAAGGACAAGTCTTAATCATGAATTACATATATTGAATTACACATATTAAAGATGCTCTCTCAAAACAGCATCATACAACTTAGCATCTTTCTATGTCACATGAATTTTAAGTAATCACTGTAAACTTAAGATTTATCTTACATGACCTCAACACTTACGGCAAACCTATAAAAAATAAAATAATTAACTGTAATGTAATATCTCACATACTTTATATAGTTATTGTTAGGTGCCATCAAGTCGGTTCCAATCCTAGGCACAACAGAACCAAACAATGCTTGGTCCTGCACCATCTTTACATTTATCCTTGAGCCCGTTACCTTTATAAACCAAATACCCATTTTGCTTCTAATTACTGTTTCTTATGAGTTAAAAGAAACAACAAGTTCTTTCCCCTTCTTGCCTTTCATCTGCCTTCTGTGACTGAAGACTATGTTTGGTGACAGCTAAGATGTACTAGTTCCCTTAACAACTCCCTCACAACTTTCAAAAAAAACAAACCACAACCTGGGTCTTATTGAAGGATTTCTATATTCCTCAAAAACTGTTCCCAAAAACGGAATTTCATATACCTTTAATAAGATTTTAAAATTCATAAAAAAAGTTAGGTTTTAGTAAACTCCTTTGAAATCTATCATATCTTAAGTCCCTAAAACAATTTAGAATAGTCAACAAGTAAATAAAAATAAATAAAAACAGTTAGTACAAACAAAATGACAGCACTTTTCAAACTGTTTGTTTTCAAAGAGTAGTGTGGTGGTGGTGGTTATGTGCTATGGAGTCGGTTCCAACTCATAGCGACCCAGGTACAGGGTTTTCGAGGCTGTAAATCTTTACAAGAACAGAAAGCCTCATCTTTCTCCCACAGAACAGCTGGAAGTTTCGAACTGCTGACTTTGCAGTTCACAGGCCAATTTATAACCACTACGCTACCAGAGCTCCTTCTGATAGCGTGGTGGTGGTGGTTATGTGCCATGGAGTCGGAACCGACTCACAGCGACCCTGTACAGGGTTTCCAAGGCTGTAAATCTTTACGGGGACAGGAAGCCTCAACTGGTAGTTTTAAACTGCTGACCTTGAGGTTTGCAGCCTGATTCGTAACCACTACGATACCAGAATGGGCTGCTAACCTCAAGTTCAGCAGTTCAAAACGACCAGCTGTTGTGCGGGAGAAAGATGAGGTGTTCTGTTCTGCTCCTGCAAATATTTACAGTCTCGGAAACCGTACACAGGGTCGCTTTGACTTGTAACCGACTCCATAGCACACTACCACACCATGATAAAGAACAAATGTTTACGTAAAATCTGTCACACTAATTTTGTAAGAAGCAGTAACAAGAAAATTCAAGGCGCAGCTTTTTATTAGCATCAATATGCATTAAAAAGTATCTTAAATCCAGACCACCACCACCACCCCCCGCACAAAAAAAAAAAAGACTTTAATAAACACAAAGGCAAATAAAGAAAAATGAGAACCTCCCCTACCCCAATTTTTGGCTTCTGCACTGACCTCAACTGAAAGAAAATTTGTAAGAGTCATGATGTGGCGCTGGTTAATGCGCCAGACTGCAAAGCCATTCGAACTGCAACGTCAGCAGTTCAAGCTCCCCAGCTGCTCCTTGGAAACCCTATACAGGGTCGCTATGGGTCGGAACCGACTCGACGGCACTTAACAACAACAACACACTGTAGGTGGACTGCTAATTGCAAGATTAGCGGTTCAAACCCATCAGGCACTCCTTAAGAGTAGCCAAGTCAAAACCAACTCAACAAACGGCACGAACAACCTGTGATGCTGTAGGATAAGAGCTGGAATGCTAACCACAAGGTCAGTGGTTCAATCCCACCAGGTGCTCCAAGGAAGAAAGATGAGGCTTTCTGCTCCAATAAAAATTTAGTCTCAAAACCATATTCAAGGAAGACATATGCCAGAAATAACTCAGCGGTACTTAGTAATTCTTCACTTATGGACTACCTAGTTATCCAGCATTTCACATTTACAACAACAGTAAAAATCTACTAGACTATTTTACACATTAATGAATGTCAAGGTACGAGGGTAAAGCTGGCTGTGATGAATAAAGTTATGTGACAACTTGACTGGACTATGACTCTCAATGGTTTGGCAGTCACATAACGATTGTTGTTAAGTGCCATAGAGTTAGTTTCAACTCACAGTGACCCTGTATAGGGCTTCCTAGGAGCAGCTAGTGGGTTTGAATTACCAACCTTGCAATGTTAGAGCGCCACACCAGGACTCCACATAATTATTGGTGTTCTCAAGTGCCTTTGAGTCAATTCAGACTCACAGAGACCCTGTATAACGTTTCTGAGGAGGGACTAATAAGTTTGAACCACCAACCTTGTGGTTTGCAGTTCAGTGCTACTCCTACAGCGCCACACCAGGACTCCACATAGTGATCGCTGTTGCTTAGCGTCATTTAGTTGGCTGACTCACAGTGACCCTGTAATAGAGTTTGCGAGGAGTGGCTGGTAGGTCTGAATCATCAACCTGCGATTATTAGCAGTCCAGTGCTTATCCTACACTGCGCCACACCAAGAGTTAATATTTAAGCTGATTTTTGGGACCATGGAAAACTGTTGAAGGTTTATGGCAAATAATGAGATCAGATCTGTGAGTTCTCTGGAAGCATTAGGTACAATAACTAGAAAAAAGCAAAGGAAATTGGGGCGGTTCCTTTTTTTTCTTTTAATAAGCACAACTTTTAAAATCTTAAGCTGGTCAATTGACTATTTTCATTTAACACTAAGCTTAACATTCTTTACCTAAATAGCATAAAAGAACACTAGATAACTTTTTAAATGAATATTTATAGAAAATAGTACATTAACTAGGTAGCAAAGTTATATAATAATAATAAAAAGAGAAATATATAGTAAAGTACTGGTGTGGCACTAAGGGTTAATGCGCTAGACTACAAGGTTAGAAGTTCAAACTCAACAGCCACTCCTCAGAAGACCTATACAGGGTCGTTACGAGTTGGAACTGACTCAACGGCACTAACAACAACAACATACACTAATAATTAAAAAAAGGGAAATTAATTTGTGAAAATAACATAATAATTCCATAGCTAACAATTAAGGAAAAAATTGAAAATAATGTAAAATATGTCTATGGCTCCCTTACTAGAAAAGGAAAAATTGCAGATAGCTTACTTTAAAATGCACATTAAAAACAAACAAACAAAAAAACACCCACCTTATCTAATAATTGCTTTGGGAAATTTTTATGGTCAGCAGTACAAACACTACTAGAACTACATAATGAAATATAGCTCTTTATTAAACATTTACTGAATCTAGTATTATGTGGTTAACTACAATCAAACAAACAGTAAACGAACAAATGATTCAAACAAACAGTAAACGAAGATATGGAAGACTGAGCCCCTCTCCAGTTGATGAGACACAGAAAAAAGAAATGCTGTGTAGTAAAGACCTCAGTACTATAGAAAATTTTCAAGTACAAATCTAATTCTTATCCTGAGAGTCGCATCTTTATGAGACTGTAGGGTAAGCACTAGACCTTAATGTGGATTTGAACCACAGGATCAGTGGCTCAAACCCACCAGCAGCTCCTCAGAAACCCTATACATGGAGCTGTCAGTTGGAACTAACTTGATGGCATTTAATAACAACAAACACAATGCAATTCTAGATACCATTATATCTCAAAACTCATCTGTGTTATCCTGTAGCATAAACCCTAAAACACTAAGAAATACTTTCTATGTTGAGTAAAAGGGTAATTAAAAGTAGGTATGAAAACACCCTCACATAAAATTCATTTACAAGTTTTAGAGTTTCAAGAAAAATATCTCACTATTGAATAAAGATGAGTGGAGGCATGATGCCATTACCCTTTCACTGGTCACTAAAAACTGGAAGACTTTTTAGCTGTATTAGAATTGTTTTTGTTAAGTGCTGCTAAGTATGTTCTGACTCACAGCAATCCTGCATAGCATTTCCAAAGAACAGCTGGTGGATCTGAACTGTCCACCTTGCAATTAGTCGCTCAGACTTAGCACCACTAAGAGTTGGTTCCAACTCATAGCGACCCTGTATAGTGTTTCCAAGGAGCATCATAAGAAATGTTGTTAAGGGCTGTCAATTCGGTTCTAACTCATGGCAATCCTGTATAAGGTTTTCAAGGAGCGGCTTTTGAGTTTGAACCACCAACCTTGTGGTTCAAACCAATCTTGCGGTTCATCAGTGCTTTATCCCACAGCACCACACCAGGACTCCTATGTTAGAAATAAAACCCTATTTTTGTATTGTCCTGGTGCAGCGCTGTACGATAATCACTGGGTAGACTACTAATCAGAAGGTAGGTGATTCAAACCTACCAGTTGTTCTTTGGAAACCCTATACAGGGTCGCTACGTGTAGGTACTCAACAACAGCAATTACATTGAGAAAGTTTTAATATTAAGGCTTCAACTTATCCTAGAATAATGACTACTAAAAGTTTAAATAAAAAATAAGGTAGTATCAAGAGAGGAACGCACAAATAGAATGCGGGACCTTATCCAGAGAAGCAGCAGCGCCAGAGATGGAGGCAGAGATGGGGGCATGGAGAGGGGGAGCGGCTGAGGACTCTAGATTCATCATCTAAGAAGAGAAGGACTAAGAGCTGGTGGCCAGGAGCAGACTTGCAGAATGTGCCCTTTGGAGATGTAAATTATTATATATGCCTGAGTGGGTTTTTTTGTTTGTGTGTTTTTTAAAAAAAGCTAAAGTAGATAAAGAGAAATACTTTTAACTGATGGTATATGGAGGGGATTATAATCAATG